ACCATATGACCAATGTTAAAATACAGTCTATGCACAGTTCATGCAGGACTCGCATTTATTCATAATAACATTATTTATTGTCAGCCACAGCTACATGTACAAAGGTCTCTCTCTCTCTCTCTCTCTCTCTTTCTCTTCCTCTCTCTCTCTACTCTCTCTCTCTTCTCTCTCTCTCTCTCTCTCTCTCTCTCTCTCTCTCTCCTCTCTCTCTCTCTCTCTCTCTCTCTCTCTCTCTCTCTCTCTCTCTCTCTCTCTCTCTCATCACTCATCACTCACTCACCACATGTGAACTGTGCACGCACCTCGTGCTGGCCCGTCTAACCATGAGAAAGCGGTCCTAAACAACGGGTGCTTTTAGACCGTCCCGTTGCAATAGAGACGGCCTATAGGCAATAAGCAGTGACTTTCTCCCTCTCAGCCTGCACTGCTCCAGCCCCACACACACGGGGAGGTTTTACACACACACACCCGCGGCTGCAGCTGGAGCCGTGTTTTTACAGAGAGCCGATAGCAGTAAATATCTCTGGCTGCTTATTTTCAACTGCTATGTTTGGCCGCTAAAATCCTCAGAATCCGGCGATTTGTCCAATACAAATCTTTTACATTGTTTTCAATTCACACAGAAGCTCCACTTCACTGATACCTTTCTTTAAGGTATCTCTAAACATGAGCTGTGTATGCTTGTATGGCACTTCCGTCCCGAGCAGCACACACAGAGGAAATCAGCCAGGACTGAGTCCCCAGACACTGATTCCCTGGGTTTATTATCCCCAAATGTTCATTAACCAAAACGAAACACAGCTGCTCAGTTTCACAGGTAATTTTAGGATACCGTCAATCACAGACTCTGATAAGGCAATGTCCAAATGTAGATTTGAAAATCACACTTACCAGAATCTGAAGATTTATTGGCATCCTGCCGACAACGCCAATTTGTAAGGGAAACTTCTGTGTAGCAACTGCATGGGAGTCACCGACTCAGGAAGGAGACACGGTAGGAGCAGTAGCTTTGATGTCAAACACTGATGGTTTATTTGGAGTTACGGCCGGAGGATTCACATCACAAGTCCAAGAGCCAGAGGTTCTGACTTCACGGTAGAGTTGCCACGTCAATTCTGGAGAGCTTCTCCCTTGCTAGCCCATTTAACTGGTTCCACAGAGAGTCATCAACATGTTTTGATAAGATAGCTTTAGATAGTTTGGGCACACTAAGTTACCAGTTTCCGCCACTTATGGCCTTGGATATGTCATGCCCTGGAGTCCTCAGACAACAGAGAAGGAAGTGTCCCAGTGTACCCACAATACAGACCATCTGTGACCCAGTATTGACCGGTCACAGAATGGGAACAATAACATTATTGGCTGAAACAGCCTGTGTCCTTAAAGGAGGTAAACAGACGTCAAGGTTTGTCCTGTATGTCACATCTTGGCGTCTATGTTATTATTTCCCTAACACTGAGTACTTCTACTTTTACTCAAGTACAAGATCTGGGTACTTCTACTTTTACTCAAGTACAAGACCTGAGTACTTCTACTTTTACTCAAGTACAAGATCTGAGTACTTCTACTTTTACTCAAGTATAAGACCCGAGTACTTTTACTTTTACTCAAGTACAAGATCTGAGTACTTCTACTCAAGTACAAGATCTGAGTACTTATACTTTTACTCAAGTATAAGATCTGAGTACTTCTACTTTTACTCAAGTATAAGATCTGAGTACTTCTACTTTTACTCAAGTATAAGACCTGAGTACTTCTACTTTTACTCAAGTATAAGACCTGAGTACTTCTACTCAAGTATAAGACCTGAGTACTTCTCCCACCTCTGCCAAAAACAAATCCCTTCTATGTAGTTTTCAATAAACCTGATTCTGATAATAATAGTATATTTATTTTGTAAAGCCCTTTTCTCAGAACTTCTCCGGATCAACAGTCTCTTATTTTGTATATTCCTTCCTCACAGTGACTTCTGTTGAGTCACCCTCCATTGAATATTGAATAATCCATTTTGTTGTACAATAATATCCTGCATTATATTTGTTACTGGACATTTGTATTTCCACATATTTTCCACTTTTTAATGCTGTTTTATTTCTATATGTTTTGGAGTGTTTATCTCTTGTGTCTTCATTTCTCTCATTGCCTTGTTTATGCTGCTGCAACACAAACATGTCCCAAACTGGGATCAATAAAGTATATAATATATATATATATGCTTGAAATGAGCTTATATGGTTATGTTTTTGATATGAAAGTTATTCAAGTAAACCCACAGGAAGCGACATGTGCTCATCTTGACTGAGAAAAGAAGACGCAACTACTTTGAGGAAGGAAGTACATTCAACATTTCTCTTTAAGAGGCAGCCGGTCTAGAGACTTACACGAATACAAGAGACACGATGGACGAGTTCAAACGGATTCAAATGTCTTCACTTCTCATTCTGCTGCTTCAGTTTACAGGTAAGGATTCCAACAACATGTATATATTTAGAAACATTTAAAAGGGTAATTCATCACTTATGTTACTTTATTACCTAACCTCCTTTTAACCAAGACAGAGAAGAGGTCAGTTTGTCTTCCAACGAGGGGAAGGCAACTTTTAGACACATTGGGAAACTTTTGTTGTCTTAAATAAACATTTGTATTTCTCTGTATTCTTTATATTTCTGTCTTGTTTATTCAGGGGCTGCAATTGGACAGCGTCTCCTCTACCCCTCTGTCAGAGCTGGAGATGAAGCCACTTTGCCGTGTAACAGTGTGATTAATGATCAGGGTCAATGTGATGGTACTACCTGGCTCTTCACTGATTCAGTAGAGCTGGTTAAAGGTGGGCAGATTGTTGACAAAGCTGAATCAGACAGACTGAGAGTTACAGAGAATTGTTCTCTGGTTATGAAGAAGGTCACAGAGGAGGATGCTGGTTATTACACCTGCAGACAGTTCAACAGATCAGATCAACAAGAAGGTCTAGACTCTGAGGTTCTTCTGTCTGTTGTTACCAGTGAGTATTTACATCATGATGTTTCAAACTGTCTCTATAGAGCAATATACTGAAACATTACAATAATAATGATTACAGTGATGAAGTTAATGTTACTCTCGTTGTCTTTCTCTCTCAATATCTCCATCTGCAGTGACTGGACATCAGGACAATGATGAGGTGACGTTAAGCTGCTCTGTATCGACATATAGAGGAGGATGTATACACCCAGTGAAGTGGCTGCTTCAGGGTCAAGATGTGGACAAAGATCACAGAGAGATAAACACATCACAGTCTTACTGCTCTGCCTCTGTGACATTTCTGACTTCTCTCTTTAGTAACACCACAAGGTCTGAGTTGTTTACTTGTGCAGTAACTAATGGTTACAACGGAGAAGTGCATCTGTTTCCCTTCAGCCCTCAGTCCTCAGGTGAGAACATGTTGAGCCATTCAAAGTGAATTAATTAACTCGTGTATTTTTACTTATTTAATTATTTGAATCACATCACAATATAAATGACCCATAAGACAGTTTGCTAGTGAAACGTTTGTTGATCTTTTGTCATCTGTTCAGGTGAGGACACAACAACAACAACAACAGAGAGCGACTCCAGATCAGGTTTCAATACGACAGCTTCTGTGATCTCTGAAGATTCAGCAAAACTATACTATACTTTACTATATCTTTAAAACAATGATATTCTCTCTCAGGTCTCTTGAGGCACATCCTCGTGCCTGTGGGTTTAGCCGCTCTCATAATGATTGTCGTGGCGGTCAACATCTGGACGAGAGCTAAAGGTGAGAACATTCACAGATTAAATTTAAACGTTTTTTTGGAATTGTGGAAAGTAAAGTCGACTTTCTCTTCTTTCTTCTCAGAGAAGCAAACACAGATGGATGAAATCAATGTGAGTTTTTACATCAAATACTGAACTGTTTTGACTCTCTCTTCGTTATGAACTGATAAACACAGACACAAAGTGCAGAGAGACCTAGATCTGAATCAACACCTCTTTGAACCTGTCAGTCACAACTGAACATGATGAGTTCAGACTAAAGGACTGATTCCCCTGAATTACATCACAGAGGATTTCCCCACCTTCACACTAGTGGCTTTTAGCAATGCTAATAGTTCTGTTGTTTTAGAAAACAATGTGTTTGTTACTGTGAATAATGTGCAGGATCAAATCTAGTTTCAAAGCAAACTGTCCAGAAGTCAGAAGATTAAATCAGATCAGACGGGAACTGATGGTGCGTTCAGGGTCTGCTGACTCAACTGTGAACTGTGTTTTACTTTGAAATCCTTTGTAACCAACTCAGTGTTGTTGTTGTTGTTGCTGTTGTTGTTGTTGTTTTCCTCAGGTGCGTTATGATGTAGATGATGGTACAGTGAACTATGAAAACATCAGACCTGCTGATGGAGTTTGAGCAACACTTCTGCCTCCATCAGACTCCACTGATCAACAACGTCTACATCTATCATCAGGAGTGGAAGATTATACACTCATTCTGAATGACATATTATTTCATTTTAGTCTTGATCTAATAAACCACTGGATGTCACTGTAAACAGCTTTTAACTCTTGTTTCCTTCCTTATATTGTCTTCATGCTGAAGCTTCAGAGCTGATTTCAAGATGTACTGATTGTTTTTGAACGACAGCTTGAGCTCATTTTAACATCTCTGTGTTCAGAATTATTACTTTAATCCACTTTCATTGAGCTTTGCTTTGTGTTTTGATGTTCATGTGATTGAATGGATTTTCAGCCTTAATGTAGAAAGTACGTTTTCTCTTTGTTATATCTGTTGACATCAGAATCTGCAAATAAAACAAACAAAAACAATTGAGTCTATTTTTTGAAATAGTCTAAAGTCACTTTGAGGAGTTGACATCATACGTACGAGAGGAAGTAGACGCAACACTTCTCTGCTAACAAACTATTTCATCAACATTTCATCAGAACTAGAGACAGAGGAAGCAGAGAGACGGAGAATCAAGATGGATGAGTTCAAACGGATTACAATGTCTTCACTTCTCATTCTGCTGCTTCAGTCTACAGGTAAGGATTCCTACAACATGAATATTACATTTAGAACACATTATAAAAGGTGATGTATTAATCATGAATGTTAGTTTATCAGTGGCGTACCGTGGGGCTTTAGACAGGGCCTTCAGTAAACTACTGAAGAGCACATGCAGTACACACACTTTACACGTCTCTGTTCCAGCCATAATCAAATAATACACACATTATGCCAAACAGTCTCTCAACAATACGACAGCTGATCAACAATCACAACAGTAAGCTGGATTAGGGTGGGTCGAATGCAGACGAAATTTCCCAGCATTGATCAATGAAGTAATCTATTATTAAACGTGTGTCATTGTGCACTCTCACGTCGCTCTAAAATGAAACGAATAGTAACCTGTCACTTGTAAATAAAGTCCATGCTACGAAGGAAGTTCATGACAGAAGTTTAGGGTAGCTCTAGGCCCAGGGGGAATAGCCGCGGGAAGTAGGGGTGCTGGGGGTGCTGCATGTCTTCATTTCTCTCATTGCCTTGTTTATGCTGCTGCAACACAAACATTTCCCAAACTGGGATCAATAAAGTATATAATATATATATATATGCTTGAAATGAGCTTATATGGTTGTGACGGGGTTCATTTTGTCCGTTCACAAACACTGGCCTAGTCGGTTGGGTTACACTCCAAAAAACTTTATTCTTAACAGCAACAAAAAAATAACGAAACAGCACACCTTAAACAAACAAAATAAAAATCCAAAACAGGCCGTCCATCACTCATTCAGAGTAAACATGTTCTGTTGTTGCCTTCTCTGCAACAAACTCCCAAACATGTCCCAGCTGTTGCCTTTACTGCAACATTCTTCTGAGTGATCCCTTCCAGGGCCAAACCCCCTTTTGAGCTCATAGCCCCTCCCACAGGCTTACCGTCAACAGGTGACAACAATTAAACTTCAAACCACATTTCAACATAAAAATCCGACCCAAACATAAAACAGGTTAACCACCTCTTAACATAATCATTTAACAAATTAACAAACACACAATAAATAATAAATTGCATGGTTCCTTTTAGGAAGAGAGCAGGAAATGTTTGGTGTGTGTGTAGTGTGTGTGTGTGACTGTGTGTGTGTGTCGGCTGTCAGTGGCGGAGTCGGTCACTCATGTGATCCGCTCCATCACAATGGTTATGTTTTTGATATGAAAGTTATTCAAGTAAACCCGCAGGAAGCGACATGTGCTCATCTTGACTGAGAAAAGAAGACGCAACTACTTTGAGGAAGGAAGTACATTCAACATTTCTCTTTAAGAGGCAGCCGGTCTAGAGACTTACACGAATACAAGAGACACGATGGACGAGTTCAAACGGATTCAAATGTCTTCACTTCTCATTCTGCTGCTTCAGTTTACAGGTAAGGATTCCAACAACATGTATATATTTAGAAACATTTAAAAGGGTAATTCATCACTTATGTTACTTTATTACCTAACCTCCTTTTAACCAAGACAGAGAAGAGGTCAGTTTGTCTTCCAACGAGGGGAAGGCAACTTTTAGACACATTGGGAAACTTTTGTTGTCTTAAATAAACATTTGTATTTCTCTGTATTCTTTATATTTCTGTCTTGTTTATTCAGGGGCTGCAATTGGACAGCGTCTCCTCTACCCCTCTGTCAGAGCTGGAGATGAAGCCACTTTGCCGTGTAACAGTGTGATTAATGATCAGGGTCAATGTGATGGTACTACCTGGCTCTTCACTGATTCAGTAGAGCTGGTTAAAGGTGGGCAGATTGTTGACAAAGCTGAATCAGACAGACTGAGAGTTACAGAGAATTGTTCTCTGGTTATGAAGAAGGTCACAGAGGAGGATGCTGGTTATTACACCTGCAGACAGTTCAACAGATCAGATCAACAAGAAGGTCTAGACTCTGAGGTTCTTCTGTCTGTTGTTACCAGTGAGTATTTACATCATGATGTTTCAAACTGTCTCTATAGAGCAATATACTGAAACATTACAATAATAATGATTACAGTGATGAAGTTAATGTTACTCTCGTTGTCTTTCTCTCTCAATATCTCCATCTGCAGTGACTGGACATCAGGACAATGATGAGGTGACGTTAAGCTGCTCTGTATCGACATATAGAGGAGGATGTATACACCCAGTGAAGTGGCTGCTTCAGGGTCAAGATGTGGACAAAGATCACAGAGAGATAAACACATCACAGTCTTACTGCTCTGCCTCTGTGACATTTCTGACTTCTCTCTTTAGTAACACCACAAGGTCTGAGTTGTTTACTTGTGCAGTAACTAATGGTTACAACGGAGAAGTGCATCTGTTTCCCTTCAGCCCTCAGTCCTCAGGTGAGAACATGTTGAGCCATTCAAAGTGAATTAATTAACTCGTGTATTTTTACTTATTTAATTATTTGAATCACATCACAATATAAATGACCCATAAGACAGTTTGCTAGTGAAACGTTTGTTGATCTTTTGTCATCTGTTCAGGTGAGGACACAACAACAACAACAACAGAGAGCGACTCCAGATCAGGTTTCAATACGACAGCTTCTGTGATCTCTGAAGATTCAGCAAAACTATACTATACTTTACTATATCTTTAAAACAATGATATTCTCTCTCAGGTCTCTTGAGGCACATCCTCGTGCCTGTGGGTTTAGCCGCTCTCATAATGATTGTCGTGGCGGTCAACATCTGGACGAGAGCTAAAGGTGAGAACATTCACAGATTAAATTTAAACGTTTTTTGGAATTGTGGAAAGTCAAGTCGACTTTCTCTTCTTTCTTCTCAGAGAAGAAAACACAGATGGATGAAATCAATGTGAGTTTTTACATCAAATACTGAACTGTTTTGACTCTCTCTTCGTTATGAACTGATAAACACAGACACAAAGTGCAGAGAGACCTAGATCTGAATCAACACCTCTTTGAACCTGTCAGTCACAACTGAACATGATGAGTTCAGACTAAAGGACTGATTCCCCTGAATTACATCACAGAGGATTTCCCCACCTTCACACTAGTGGCTTTTAGCAATGCTAATAGTTCTGTTGTTTTAGAAAACAATGTGTTTGTTACTGTGAATAATGTGCAGGATCAAATCTAGTTTCAAAGCAAACTGTCCAGAAGTCAGAAGATTAAATCAGATCAGACGGGAACTGATGGTGCGTTCAGGGTCTGCTGACTCAACTGTGAACTGTGTTTTACTTTGAAATCCTTTGTAACCAACTCAGTGTTGTTGTTGTTGTTGTTGTTGTTGTTGTTGTTTTCCACAGGTGCGTTGTGATGTAGATGATGGTACAGTGAACTATGAAAACATCAGACCTGCTGATGGAGTTTGAGCAACACTTCTGCCTCCATCAGACTCCACTGATCAACAACGTCTACATCTATCATCAGGAGTGGAAGATTATACACTCATTCTGAATGACATATTATTTCATTTTAGTCTTGATCTAATAAACCACTGGATGTCACTGTAAACAGCTTTTAACTCTTGTTTCCTTCCTTATATTGTCTTCATGCTGAAGCTTCAGAGCTGATTTCAAGATGCACTGATTGTTTTTGAACGACAGCTTGAGCTCATTTTAACATCTCTGTGTTCAGAATTATTACTTTAATCCACTTTCATTGAGCTTTGCTTTGTGTTTTGATGTTCATGTGATTTAATGGATTTTCAGCCTTAATGTAGAAAGTACGTTTTCTCTTTGTTATATCTGTTGACATCAGAATCTGCAAATAAAACAAACAAAAACAATTGAGTCTATTTTTTGAAATAGTCTAAAGTCACTTTGAGGAGTTTACATCATACGTACGAGAGGAAGTAGACGCAACACTTCTCTGCTAACAAACTATTTCATCAACATTTCATCAGAACTAGAGACAGAGGAAGCAGAGAGACGGAGAATCAAGATGGATGAGTTCAAACGGATTACAATGTCTTCACTTCTCATTCTGCTGCTTCAGTCTACAGGTAAGGATTCCTACAACATGAATATTACATTTAGAACACATTATAAAAGGTGATGTATTAATCATGAATGTTAGTTTATCAGTGGCGTACCGTGGGGCTTTAGACAGGGCCTTCAGTAAACTACTGAAGAGCACATGCAGTACACACACTTTACACGTCTCTGTTCCAGCCATAATCAAATAATACACACATTATGCCAAACAGTCTCTCAACAATACGACAGCTGATCAACAATCACAACAGTAAGCTGGATTAGGGTGGGTCGAATGCAGACGAAATTTCCCAGCATTGATCAATGAAGTAATCTATTATTAAACGTGTGTCATTGTGCACTCTCACGTCGCTCTAAAATGAAACGAATAGTAACCTGTCACTTGTAAATAAAGTCCATGCTACGAAGGAAGTTCATGACAGAAGTTTAGGGTAGCTCTAGGCCCAGGGGGAATAGCCGCGGGAAGTAGGGGTGCTGGGGGTGCTGCATGTCTTCATTTCTCTCATTGCCTTGTTTATGCTGCTGCAACACAAACATTTCCCAAACTGGGATCAATAAAGTATATAATATATATATATATGCTTGAAATGAGCTTATATGGTTGTGACGGGGTTCATATTGTCCGTTCACAAACACTGGCCTAGTCGGTTGGGTTACGCTCCAAAAAACTTTATTCTTAACAGCAACAAAAAAATAACGAAACAGCACACCTTAAACAAACAAAATAAAAATCCAAAACAGGCCGTCCATCACTCATTCAGAGTAAACATGTTCTGTTGTTGCCTTCTCTGCAACAAACTCCCAAACATGTCCCAGCTGTTGCCTTTACTGCAACATTCTTCTGAGTGATCCCTTCCAGGGCCAAACCCCGTCCCTTTTGAGCTCATAGCCCCTCCCACAGGCTTACCGTCAACAGGTGACAACAATTAAACTTCAAACCACATTTCAACATAAAAATCCGACCCAAACATAAAACAGGTTAACCACCTCTTAACATAATCATTTAACAAATTAACAAACACACAATAAATAATAAATTGCATGGTTCCTTTTTAGGAAGAGAGCAGGAAATGTTTGGTGTGTGTGTAGTGTGTGTGTGTGACTGTGTGTGTGTCGGCTGTCAGTGGCGGAGTCGGTCACTCATGTGATCCGCTCCATCACAATGGTTATGTTTTTGATATGAAAGTTATTCAAGTAAACCCGCAGGAAGCGACATGTGCTCATCTTGACTGAGAAAAGAAGACGCAACTACTTTGAGGAAGGAAGTACATTCAACATTTCTCTTTAAGAGGCAGCCGGTCTAGAGACTTACACGAATACAAGAGACACGATGGACGAGTTCAAACGGATTCAAATGTCTTCACTTCTCATTCTGCTGCTTCAGTTTACAGGTAAGGATTCCAACAACATGTATATATTTAGAAACATTTAAAAGGGTAATTCATCACTTATGTTACTTTATTACCTAACCTCCTTTTAACCAAGACAGAGAAGAGGTCAGTTTGTCTTCCAACGAGGGGAAGGCAACTTTTAGACACATGGGGAAACTTTTGTTGTCTTAAATAAACATTTGTATTTCTCTTTATTCTTTATATTTCTGTCTTGTTTATTCAGGGGCTGCAATTGGACAGCGTCTCCTCTACCCCTCTGTCAGAGCTGGAGATGAAGCCACTTTGCCGTGTAACAGTGTGATTAATGATCAGGGTCAATGTGATGGTACTACCTGGCTCTTCACTGATTCAGTAGAGCTGGTTAAAGGTGGGCAGATTGTTGACAAAGCTGAATCAGACAGACTGAGAGTTACAGAGAATTGTTCTCTGGTTATGAAGAAGGTCACAGAGGAGGATGCTGGTTATTACACCTGCAGACAGTTCAACAGATCAGATCAACAAGAAGGTCTAGACTCTGAGGTTCTTCTGTCTGTTGTTTCCAGTGAGTATTTACATCATGATGTTTCAAACTGTCTCTATAGAGCAATATACTGAAACATTACAATAATAATGATTACAGTGATGAAGTTAATGTTACTCTCGTTGTCTTTCTCTCTCAATATCTCCATCTGCAGTGACTGGACATCAGGACAATGATGAGGTGACGTTAAGCTGCTCTGTATCGACATATAGAGGAGGATGTATACACCCAGTGAAGTGGCTGCTTCAGGGTCAAGATGTGGACAAAGATCACAGAGAGATAAACACATCACAGTCTTACTGCTCTGCCTCTGTGACATTTCTGACTTCTCTCTTTAGTAACACCACAAGGTCTGAGTTGTTTACTTGTGCAGTAACTAATGGTTACAACGGAGAAGTGCATCTGTTTCCCTTCAGCCCTCAGTCCTCAGGTGAGAACATGTTGAGCCATTCAAAGTGAATTAATTAACTCGTGTATTTTTACTTATTTAATTATTTGAATCACATCACAATATAAATGACCCATAAGACAGTTTGCTAGTGAAACGTTTGTTGATCTTTTGTCATCTGTTCAGGTGAGGACACAACAACAACAACAACAGAGAGCGACTCCAGATCAGGTTTCAATACGACAGCTTCTGTGATCTCTGAAGATTCAGCAAAACTATACTATACTTTACTATATCTTTAAAACAATGATATTCTCTCTCAGGTCTCTTGAGGCACATCCTCGTGCCTGTGGGTTTAGCCGCTCTCATAATGATTGTCGTGGCGGTCAACATCTGGACGAGAGCTAAAGGTGAGAACATTCACAGATTAAATTTAAACGTTTTTTGGAATTGTGGAAAGTAAAGTCGACTTTCTCTTCTTTCTTCTCAGAGAAGCAAACACAGATGGATGAAATCAATGTGAGTTTTTACATCAAATACTGAACTGTTTTGACTCTCTCTTCGTTATGAACTGATAAACACAGACACAAAGTGCAGAGAGACCTAGATCTGAATCAACACCTCTTTGAACCTGTCAGTCACAACTGAACATGATGAGTTCAGACTAAAGGACTGATTCCCCTGAATTACATCACAGAGGATTTCCCCACCTTCACACTAGTGGCTTTTAGCAATGCTAATAGTTCTGTTGTTTTAGAAAACAATGTGTTTGTTACTGTGAATAATGTGCAGGATCAAATCTAGTTTCAAAGCAAACTGTCCAGAAGTCAGAAGATTAAATCAGATCAGACGGGAACTGATGGTGCGTTCAGGGTCTGCTGACTCAACTGTGAACTGTGTTTTACTTTGAAATCCTTTGTAACCAACTCAGTGTTGTTGTTTTCCACAGGTGCGTTATGATGTAGATGATGGTACAGTGAACTATGAAAACATCAGACCTCCTGATGGAGTTTGAGCAACACTTCTGCCTCCATCAGACTCCACTGATCAACAACGTCTACATCTATCATCAGGAGTGGAAGATTATACACTCATTCTGAATGACATATTATTTCATTTTAGTCTTGATCTAATAAACCACTGGATGTCACTGTAAACAGCTTTTAACTCTTGTTTCCTTCCTTATATTGTCTTCATGCTGAAGCTTCAGAGCTGATTTCAAGATGTACTGATTGTTTTTGAACGACAGCTTGAGCTCATTTTAATATCTCTGTGTTCAGAATTATTACTTTAATCCACTTTCATTGAGCTTTGCTTTGTGTTTTGATGTTCATGTGATTTCATGGGTTTTCAGCCTTAATGTAGAAAGTACGTTTTCTCTTTGTTATATCTGTTGACATCAGAATCTGCAAATAAAACAAACAAAAACAATTGAGTCTATTTTTTGAAATAGTCTAAAGTCACTTTGAGGAGTTGACATCATACGTACGAGAGGAAGTAGACGCAACACTTCTCTGCTAACAAACTATTTCATCAACATTTCATCAGAACTAGAGACAGAGGAAGCAGAGAGACGGAGAATCAAGATGGATGAGTTCAAACGGATTACAATGTCTTCACTTCTCATTCTGCTGCTTCAGTCTACAGGTAAGGATTCCTACAACATGAATATTACATTTAGAACACATTATAAAAGGTGATGTATTAATCATGAATGTTAGTTTATCAGTGGCGTACCGTGGGGCTTTAGACAGGGCCTTCAGTAAACTACTGAAGAGCACATGCAGTACACACACTTTACACGTCTCTGTTCCAGCCATAATCAAATAATACACACATTATGCCAAACAGTCTCTCAACAATACGACAGCTGATCAACAATCACAACAGTAAGCTGGATTAGGGTGGGTCGAATGCAGACGAAATTTCCCAGCATTGATCAATGAAGTAATCTATTATTAAACGTGTGTCATTGTGCACTCTCACGTCGCTCTAAAATGAAACGAATAGTAACCTGTCACTTGTAAATAAAGTCCATGCTACGAAGGAAGTTCATGACAGAAGTTTAGGGTAGCTCTAGGCCCAGGGGGAATAGCCGCGGGAAGTAGGGGTGCTGGGGGTGCTGCATGTCTTCATTTCTCTCATTGCCTTGTTTATGCTGCTGCAACACAAACATTTCCCAAACTGGGATCAATAAAGTATATAATATATATATATATGCTTGAAATGAGCTTATATGGTTGTGACGGGGTTCATTTTGTCCGTTCACAAACACTGGCCTAGTCGGTTGGGTTACGCTCAAAAAACTTTATTCTTAACAGCAACAAAAAAATAACGAAACAGCACACCTTAAACAAACAAAATAAAAATCCAAAACAGGCCGTCCATCACTCATTCAGAGTAAACATGTTCTGTTGTTGCCTTCTCTGCAACAAACTCCCAAACATGTCCCAGCTGTTGCCTTTACTGCAACATTCTTCTGAGTGATCCCTTCCAGGGCCAAACCCCCTTTTGAGCTCATAGCCCCTCCCACAGGCTTACCGTCAACAGGTGACAACAATTAAACTTCAAACCACATTTCAACATAAAAATCCGACCCAAACATAAAACAGGTTAACCACCTCTTAACATAATCATTTAACAAATTAACAAACACACAATAAATAATAAATTGCATGGTTCCTTTTTAGGAAGAGAGCAGGAAATGTTTGGTGTGTGTGTAGTGTGTGTGTGTGACTGTGTGTGTGTCGGCTGTCAGTGGCGGAGTCGGTCACTCATGTGATCCGCTCCATCACAATGGTTATGTTTTTGATATGAAAGTTATTCAAGTAAACCCACAGGAAGCGACATGTGCTCATCTTGACTGAGAAAAGAAGACGCAGCTACTTTGAGGAAGGAAGTACATTCAACATTTCTCTTTGAGAGGCAGCCGGTCTAGAGACTTACACGAATACAAGAGACACGATGGACGAGTTCAAACGGATTCAAATGTCTTCACTTCTCATTCTGCTGCTTCAGTTTACAGGTAAGGATTCCAACAACATGTATATATTTAGAAACATTTAAAAGGGTAATTCATCACTTATGTTACTTTATTACCTAACCTCCTTTTAACCAAGACAGAGAAGAGGTCAGTTTGTCTTCCAACGAGGGGAAGGCAACTTTTAGACACATGGGGAAACTTTTGTTGTCTTAAATAAACATTTGTATTTCTCTTTATTCTTTATATTTCTGTCTTGTTTATTCAGGGGCTGCAATTGGACAGCGTCTCCTCTACCCCTCTGTCAGAGCTGGAGATGAAGCCACTTTGCCGTGTAACAGTGTGATTAATGATCAGGGTCAATGTGATGGTACTACCTGGCTCTTCACTGATTCAGTAGAGCTGGTTAAAGGTGGGCAGATTGTTGACAAAGCTGAATCAGACAGACTGAGAGTTACAGAGAATTGTTCTCTGGTTATGAAGAAGGTCACAGAGGAGGATGCTGGTTATTACACCTGCAGACAGTTCAACAGATCAGATCAACAAGAAGGTCTAGACTCTGAGGTTCTTCTGTCTGTTGTTTCCAGTGAGTATTTACATCATGATGTTTCAAACTGTCTCTATAGAGCAATATACTGAAACATTACAATAATAATGATTACAGTGATGAAGTTAATGTTACTCTCGTTGTCTTTCTCTCTCCATATCTCCATCTGCAGTGACTGGACATCAGGACAATGATGAGGTGACGTTAAGCTGCTCTGTATCGACATATAGAGGAGGATGTATACACCCAGTGAAGTGGCTGCTTCAGGGTCGAGATGTGGACAAAGATCACAGAGAGATAAACACATCACAGTCTTACTGCTCTGCCTCTGTGACATTTCTGACTTCTCTCTTTAGTAACACAACAAGGTCTGAGTTGTTTACTTGTGCAGTAACTAATGGTTACAACGGAGAAGTGCATCTGTTTCCCTTCAGCCCTCAGTCCTCAGGTGAGAACATGTTGAGCCATTCAAAGTGAATTAATTAACTCGTGTATTTTTACTTATTTAATTATTTGAATCACATCACAATATAAATGACCCATAAGACACTTTGCTAGTGAAACGTTTGTTGATCTTTTGTCATCTGTTCAGGTGAGGACACAACAACAACAACAGAGAGCGACTCCAGATCAGGTTTCAATACGACAGCTTCTGTGATCTCTGAAGATTCAGCAAAACTATACTATACTTTACTATATCTTTAAAACAATGATATTCTCTCTCAGGTCTCTTGAGGCACATCCTCGTGCCTGTGGGTTTAGCCGCTCTCATAATGATTGTCGTGGCGGTCAACATATGGACGAGAGCTAAAGGTGAGAACATTCACAGATTAAATTTAAACGCTTTTTTGAATTGTGGAAAGTCAAGTCAACTTTCTCTTCTTTCTTCTCAGAGAAGAAAACACAGATGGATGAAATCAATGTGAGTTTTTACATCAAATACTGAACTGTTTTGACTCTCTCTTCGTTATGAACTGATAAACACAGACACAAAGTGCAGAGAAACCTAGATCTGAATCAACACCTCTTTGAACCTGTCAGTAACAACTGAACATGATGAGTTCAGACTAAAGGACTGATTCCCCTGAATTACATCACAGAGGATTTCCCCACCTTCACACTAGTGGCTTTTAGCAATGCTAATAGTTCTGTTGTTTTAGAAAACAATGTGTTTGTTACTGTGAATAACGTGCAGGATCAAATCTAGTTTCAAAGCAAACTGTCCAGAAGTCAGAAGATTAAATCAGATCAGACGGGAACTGATGGTGCGTTCAGGGTCTGCTGACTCAACTGTGAACTGTGTTTTACTTTGAAATCCTTTGAAACCAACTCAGTGTTGTTGTTGTTGTTGTTGTTGTTGTTGTTTTCCTCAGGTGCGTTATGATGTAGATGATGGTACAGTGAACTATGAAAACATCAGACCTCCTGATGGAGTTTGAGCAACACTTCTGCCTCCATCAGACTCCACTGATCAACAACGTCTACATCTATCATCAGGAGTGGAAGATTATACACTCATTCTGAATGACATATTATTTCATTTTAGTCTTGATCTAATAAACCACTGGATGTCACTGTAAACAGCTTTTAACTCTTGTTTCCTTCCTTATATTGTCTTCCAGCTGAAGGTTCAGAGCTGATTTCAAGATGCACTGATTGTTTTTGAACGACAGCTTGAGCTCATTTTAACATCTCTGTGTTCAGAATTATTACTTTAATCCACTTTCATTGAGCTTTGCTTTGTGTTTTGATGTTCATGTGATTGAATGGATTTTCAGCCTTAATGTAGAAAGTACATTCTCTCTTTGTTACTCCTGATCAATATCACAATATATTCTGCAAATAAAGAAATGTTCATCTTAATTCTACACTGTGTTCTGTGGTTCCTACTAACAGTGTCTTTATCATGATCTTGTTGAATCTATCCATCCATCCAACACTTTTGTTTTTGCTCCCATTTTTCATGAGATGAACTCAAAGATCTAAAACATTTTCTATAAACACAAAATAACCATTTCTCTCAAATATTGTTCAGAAATCTGAAAGAATCTGTGATAGTGAGCACTTCTCCTTTGCCGAGATAATCCATCCCACCTCACAGGTGTGGCATATCAAGATGCTGATTAGACAGCATGATTATTGCACAGGTGTGCCTTAGGCTGGCCACAATAAAAGGCCACTCTGAAACGTGCAGTTTTGCTTTATTGGGGGGGTCTGGGGGGGTCCGAAAACCAGTCAGTATCTGGTGTGAGGGGTAAGGGTAGGGGTAGGGTAATGTTGTGAATCGAGTGGCCCATGGTGGTGGTGGGGTTATGGTATGGGCAGGCGTATGTTATGGACGACGAACACAGGCCACTCGATTCCCAACATTACCCTAACCCTAACCCTACCCCTAACCCCAGAGGTGGGACCAAGTCATTGTTTTGCAAGTCCGAGTCAAGTCTCAAGTCTTTGCGCTCAAGTCCAAGTCAAGTCTCAAGTCAGGATGGGCAAGTTCAAGTCAAGTCCTAAACTTTGACAAAACGAGTCATAAACAAGTCATTATGTGCTTTTCACCAAATGTAATGACATCGATCAACAGAATAATACTTAATAATCAAACTGCTCTTTATTAGTCACATTAATCATTTAATAATCCATTTTCTCTCTGCTGGTAAAGTAACGTGTGTTTTTCTAATTTAAGAGGGATCAGTAAGGTAAGGCTACCGTGACGGTTTGATTCAGAAGGAGTTTAATGTATAAGATCCCTGATGTTGAGGTAACCAGAATGTTTATTTCCACTGTGTACAACATGTTATAAGGGACCCACAATCTATCTTTATGCAAGGGATAATGTGCAGCGAGGCGGTCTCTATGGGGAAGAGAACACCTGAATCTAGATCCCTCTGCAGGGACTATATTTTGATGCTAATACTTTTGTACTTTTACTTGTAACATTTTGAATGCAGGACTTTTTATTATACAGGGTTCCTGCAGGTTTCGCCAACTCAAATTTAAGACTTTTTAACACCTTTTTAAGACCACTTTGAATAGAATTTAAGACCTATTTCACGGCAATAAAGTATGAAGGAAAATGTATATAAAGAAGAAATACGTCCCATAATCACTTACAAAGTAAATGTATTCATGTTCAACATAAGAACAGTGACTGAACACAACAGCGTAACAGTACAGAACTGTGTTAGCGTGTTAGACAAAAGGTGTGTATGTGTGTGCGTCTGTGTGTGCTTGAGTGCGCATGTGTGTGTGTGTGTGTGTGTGTGTGTTAGGGCTGTGCAATTAATCATATTTTAATCGCAATTACGATTTTGGCCTGCCACAATTACGAAAACAACATAATCGGAAAAAACGATTATTTTGCTTTGCTAGGTTGTGACAGTGCACCACAACATATTTGATCTAATGAATTTTTTAGTAATGTATCATTTATTTAATTAATTTTTGTATTGGTTTTTCAGTTGAATTATACATTCAGGGTAATCAACAGTTAAAAAGATACTGTTCAAATTATTATCTGTTTTAAAGTTCAATAAATGGATGTTTTCAAAGTCAATGAATAATCATATTTAATAATCGTGATATTAATTATTGACCAACATAATCTTGATTATTGCCATAATCGAGCTGTGTGTGTGTGTGTGTGGTGTGTGTGTGTGTGTGTGTGTGTGTGTGTGTGTGTGTGTGTGTGTGTGTGTGTGTGTGTGTGTGTGTGTGTGTGTGTCTCTGAGAGAGAGTGACAAGAGCTATATTCAGAGCTCTGCTGCCTTGGCTACACTATTTCATCGTTGCTGTTGTATGATTGGTGTTTAGCTGCGGTATTTAGCGTCTACAGCCAGCACCTCCGCTTTTAGGGTTGACGTAGACCCAAACTTCGCCCGGAGGTCCCCCGGTGTTGTTGCGGGAGCTGCTGCACTAGCTGCTGCTCCACAGTTGAGTAAAGTTAGAACGATATTGGCAGATTCGGATTTCACGGATCAATAACTCATGAACAAAACGTTATTCACACACAAATGATGTCTCCTATGTACCGTGGTAAGGTTGACAACGAACTACAATCATATGTTGATAAAAACAAAACAATATGCGCCGTCCTCCGAGCTGGACACATTAAATTGGTCTCTTTCAGCAGCCGGAGATGAAACAAGTGCTCAGGGACCGTCTGCAAAGTGCAACTCCGAAAAAAGAAAATACAATAATATTCAATAACGTCACTATTATACAGTATATTTCTACCAAACTCACTACACACATCAATAGTCTCCTGGTGGTTGGACTACAGCAGAGAGTTTGGAAGAATGTGCTTTTGAATAATTTTGGTGAATATTTATGGTGTAAAATCTTCAATAAATATGGTATAATCTTCAATAGCGTCACTATTATACAGTATATGTCTCCCACACTCACTACACACATCAATAGTCTCCTGGTGGTTGGACTACAGAAGAGAGTTTGGAAGAATGTGCTTTTGAATAATTTTGGTGAATATTTATGGTGTAAAATCTTCAATAAATATGGTATAATCTTCAATAGCGTCACTATTATACAGTATATGTCTCCCAAACTCACTACACACATCAATAGTCTCCTGGTGGTCAGACTACAGCAAAGAGTTTGGAAGAATGTGCTTTTGAATAATTTTGGTGAATATTTATAGTGTCAAATCTTCCATAAATATGGTATAATCTTCAATAGCGTCACTATTATACAGTATATGTCTCCCAAACTCACTACACACATCAATAGTCTCCTGGTGGTCAGACTACAGCAGAGAGTTTGGAAGAATCTGCTTTGGAATAATTTTGGGGAATATTTATAATGTATTATAACATACTGTATATACAATGTTACACATTGTATATAGGCTACAGTATGTTATATATAAATTAAGACATGAAACAACTTTTTCATTAGCTATGAAACAGTAAAATGGTCACAATCTTATGAACGATCCAAATGCAGCACTCGAGAAACCAAACCAAGGAGTATTGGTAATGAACTTTATTTGTAATAATACCAGAGCAGAGGGATAACAGAACAGTATCAGCCGGATGATGGGCAGGCAAACGAACCAGAGGACAGCGGGCAGAAGGTGAGTCAGGGCCGGGCAGAGGGTCAGGGAGCAGGCGAGGCGGTCAACGGAGGTACAGGCAGGATCAGGGATCAGGCAGAGCAGGCAGAGCAGGCAGGTCGGGGACAGGCAGGGTCGGAACCCGGTAGGCAATCTAGTAACACACGCGTGAAAGACTAGCATGAAGGCAAAGTACGATCTGGCAACGGGTGTGTGTCTGGTGAGGGTTTAAATACTGGTAGTAAAGCTAATGGGTGCAGAAGAGAAAGACAGTGAGCAAAAACGTGGGTGTGGTTAACAGGTGAGACAGGTGAATGGAAAACTACTGGTGAATGATGGAACAGACAAAATAAAGTTAACATTGAAAAATAAAAAATGTCAGGCTTTTCACCTACTGTACAATATTAATGAACAAATCCACAATCTAATGTCAGACATGGAAAACATCATGAACATCTGTGACTACTTTAATCTGTAATTGAAAATATATTTAACATCTTAATTAAGAATATAACAAGTTAAAACTATGGACAGGTGATTATTATGTCACGATCTGTCTTTATGGTGTTTTGTCTTGTCTAGATCTATCTTTGGTTTTCTGTCTGCGTTGTGTTTTGTCCTATTTAGATCTGTCTGTGGTTCCCTGTCGTTAGTTTCCCTGGTGTGTCTGATTACCCGATTGTGTTCACCTGGTGTCCCTGTGTTTTCTCCTCCCTCCTCACCTGTGTCTTGTTTGTGTGATTAGTCTTGTGTGTATTTAAGTTCTGGTTTTTCTGTCTGTCTTTGTCGTTTTGTCTTGTGTCATGACTAGTTCGTCGGTCAGTGTTCTGTTTTGTCTTTGTTTATATCCTAGCCTTGAAATAAAGGAATTTTCACGTTAATCTGCATTTGGGTCCTACCTGCTTCACACACCGTAACATATTAATCATTACTTCAGTTGCCCAAAATCTTTAGCAAAGCTATTTTCTGGATTTTTATTTGTTTTGTACAAAATTCAGCTTTCATTTAGCCGATTTCAAATCACTGGCTGGGCTGGATTTCCCCCCCACATGCCGTTTGTAAGTGCACTACTTCTACTGTGGTAGTAGTTCAAACTACAAGCCTTACCTCCCCAAATCCTGGTACCTCTGGTAAAAGTTACACAAACTCACCTCTAGCCTCTTTAGTTTGTGAGGATACACAAAACACAATACCACGGGGTATTCTTTTTGGGTATTCGTGCAGCAGGCACTCCGAGGCACTGCGTGTGAAACCATCTCCCACAAGTTTCACACTGAATCTACATGGGGACAAATACAACAAAGATATTAAGAAAATGTAAAGTGTAGGACACTTGTAAAGCAGGCATATTCATTTATATTTTAAAGAGATTATACTTTTTTTTATATACAGTATATATAAATACTTGTTGTTATTCAGGTTTATCTGTACTGTGCTAAAACTTTAACAAATTATAAGAAAAACAAAAGGAAACCTGTAATGCATACAAATATACAAAATGTCATTACTTTTA